AAGTCCGAGACGGGATCCGGCATTTTTTTAAACAAATAAAACCAAATATATTTAATCCGATTTTGTTCCAGTCCAAGTGTTTTTGATTATTTTGAAATGATATATGAAGATGGAATTGAGAAATATCATTGCAAAGTTCATCACAATAATCAGCGTTGCAAAAGTAAACTTCAAAAATCGAAGGGCAAAAATTCAAACTTATGGAAACATTTAAATGACTACCATCATCAAGAATACGATACATTAAAAGCTCGAATTAGTCAATATAAAAAGTTTGTTTAAATATTTTGTGTAATTGCATTATCAATCGGAAGAATTTCAAATTTATTCTGCATTCGTAATTGTATTTGAATAGCAAGATGTGTCATGAATATGTTTCTAAAAAAAATTTAGCGACCCCTAGTTAGTTATTTTTACTCCGCGCATAATCGGCTAGCCATTACAAACAGTGATGTCAAAGTTCCAGTTCCGGAACTAATTAGTTCCAGAACTTGAACTAAGGAATTTCAAAAATGGAGTTCCGGAACTGGAACTGGAACTACAAAAATTAAAAACCTAGTTTAGGAACTGGAACTAGTTCTAGAGAAATTTTGGAACTTTGACATCACTGATTACAAACTATCTAGAATTAGACACGGCGTGTGATATGTGATAACCTTCTAAATTTAGTTATGAAAACATATTTTGCTTGGCCGCTTTGTACCACTGCGCATATATGAATATAGCCTCTAAATTTTTTTATTTTAGAAATGAAAAGATGTTAAAAGAATTTTTAAGAACTGAAAACTAGTCGAAATGTGAGAGATGTAGTCTTACATTATTAATCTGATTTTATTTCTAAGAAAAAGGCTAATTCGAATCATATACAATATAAATATACCCATGTAAATATAAAATCATATAAATATTCAGAGTGGTGCAAAATTACACACTTGATAATATTTTTTCCTACAGTATCACTAGTGATGTTTTTAAGCTAGAAGTCTATCTTTTTCTTTCGGATGATCCAGCAAAGTATGCTCTTTCAAATAAATCCAAACTTTTATTAACATCAAAGATAATTTGACAAATTTTTTCAAATTTAGAAAAGCGGATATTTTCGATGGTGCAAGTTTACTTTATAAAACTTAGATTTCTAGATAAATAAATTATAAAACAATCATCCAAAATTATAAGTTAAAGATTTCCAGAGTAATACTGTATCGAACAAAATATTATCAAGTGCCCTTAAACTTTTGTGCCCCAGTGTATTTCTAGAAAATTTTTAAGTTTTATTTATTCGTAATGTTGATTTAGATAAATGCATTTTTTGTTTATTTTGAAACCATTTCAACGAACCCAATGTGTTCAAATCTAAAAAGCGGGCAAAAGTGTGGTAACTAATAGAGATGGCCCCAAAGCCAGTCATACAAACACTTTTTATTAGTCACCCTTAAAGAAGTGCACCTTTCATTTAACTTCATTTATTTTTTCCTCTCCCGTCTTAGCTTTGGTTCTTATATATTTTTTGCTGACTATATATTCATAAACAAATGCTTCGTTCATATTATTACTAATCTAATAAAATTGTAATTATAATTTTAACCACAGAAAATAAGACTATAAATTAAAAATTTCTAAAGTAAAATCAATATTTAAACAAATTGAATATCATTAAATTGTTCCCGTGCCAAGTGTTTTTCATATTTATTATGTAACTTTTCAAAATAACAACTTGTTGAATAATAATTGAATGAAATTGAGATATTTTAGAACATCGATTTGGGCATCTTGTGGAAGAATATTCATTTTTATATAAATTTATTATTAAAATTTTAGATAAAAAATAACAACTTTTTTCCCTTAAACAATTATACATTTTACCTTAATTAACCGGCAAAATACAGAGAATATTTATAAAGCGGTGGTTCCCGTGAAATCATTCATCTCCGCATTTGAATTGATTTGAATGCTAAATCTCTTTAGTAAATTTTATTTAAAAAGTTGTTTATTGATCTCTATTTAAACGAAAATTAAACAAAACATGAATTTTCAATATGCACAAAGAATATGACCGGCAAAAAATTAAAAATCCGCATCAGTTTATTTATTTATTCTTAAATGATTTGCTGACTCCCTTCTATATTTTTTATTATTGAAAATTTTGGTTTGTATATTTTATATGATTTTGCCCGATTATAAGCGATTAAACCAGGGCTCCGATTCGTACTTTATTTTAAAGTACAGTACTTTAAAATCGCCCTCCGTACTTACGAAATTGAATTTGTACTTTATTGAAAGTATGTACTTTAAAATCAACATTTTGGATTGAAAATGAAATTGGGGAAGGGATTGGGCAAAAATGATTTTTTTTGGCCTACGGCCTTCGAAATTCTCAAAATTTTCGCCTGCGGCGCTGAAAAAGGAAGAAATCTGGCTTCTTGGGCTCCAAATTTCAAAAAATTTTCACCTGCGGCGCTGAAAAAGTGAATTTTTTTATCTACGGCCTTCCAAAATTCTAAATATTTTCGCCTGCGGCGACAAAAATGGGAGAAATCTGTCTAAGGACCCCGAAATTTTCCAAAATTTTCGCCTGCGGCGCTGAAAATGGTCGAAAGAAAGTAACTTGCTTGAGGTTAAGACTGTCAGGGCTCTACTTCTTGTGTCAGCAAATTTTTAAATGTCATGCAGTGAAATGCACAAAATGCTCAGTGGAAACAAGAAATTATTAGAAAAGATTCATTTGGGAGAGAAATATAAAAAATTTGAGCACGAATAAATGTTTTTTAATTTAATTTGGAGTGTACTTTAAATTTGGAAATTTTGTCCCTATGTCCTTTAAAATCGAGATTTTTGTACTCTTGATTGGTATTTTGTCGATCGGAGCCCTGGATTAAACGATCAAATATCCTCATATTCAGGGCAAAAAATAAAAAAATCTTTAAAAAAATCTAAAAGTTAAATTGTATTAATAAGTTGATTAGAGTTCTGACCCGGTGGGCCCGGGACCGGGTTTTCCGGGCCCAGTAGCCAGGAAACCGGATATTTTGATTCCGGGTTTTCAGAAGCCCGGCCAGGATCGGATTGGAAGAAAAAACCCCAGATACCGGGCCCGGCAAAACTAAAAATAAAATGCGAAAACTATACTGCGTCTTTTTTCTTGTAATTGAAAATTTTTTATTGAAATTTTTATTTTCAAAAAACATTTTCCCAAATCAAAATTTATGCAAAAATTTAAAAAAATGGTTAAAACATGCGTATAATTTAATAAAAAATGGGGATGTTTGGAGGTTAATGTACATTTTTAAATAAAAGAATATAACTTTTTCGGGCATGGACAGTAGAAAGAGAATATCGTTTTAAAAATTTAACACAAAAGTTTGACTTCACCAGAGGTCAGTCGGTATTTTGAAAAATCTGAAATTTGAAACTACTCAAGATTCTGAAATAGAGCAAAATTTTTGAAATCTTAAGTCGGGAGACGAATTTTCGACTGACCTTCGAGGAACTCAAACGATGTCTAGATGCTCTTTCACATAAAAATGCCTACGATGAGTGACTTTAGAAGAAAATTGAGTGACCTTATACTCTTTTGAGAGCAGACCAATGTACCTCTAGCCCATTGTACCGCCGAGCTATAACTTCGTTCAAAATTATTGAATCTGGGCCGCCTTTTATGGTTTGATGCGCCTCGACGAGCTTAATCGAACGATACCAAAACGTCCCGGATTCGACAATTCTGAACGAAGTTATAGGTTGCGGTACCCTTTTGAAAATATATAAACAATTTTTATCCCCTTACAGAGTGAAGGGACCCAGTTTTAGGCTTCATTGAAGCGGTAAATAAGGTGGTTAAATAAATCTTTAGAACATCAATGTGTTTGTTAGCATTTTTCTCATCAGTTCCAAAACCTCACAAATTTTCTCGCCCTTCTAATCTTCTTTATGATGATTTACCTCGTTTTTGATATCCATTTCCGGTCCAATTTTGCTCTTTTTTGAATGCGATTTTTTACTAAAGTGTTTTAGAATTTTACGTTTTTGTAAAATAGCACGATCTAGGAATTTCTCCTTTTCAAAATTTGTAAAAAAGCGGTTTATTGGGTCGTTATCATTTTCTATATCCACATTTTGATCAATAGCATTGCTAAACAGCGTGAGCATATCAAAAAGATCGAAACTGAAATCAAACTTAATGTTGACCTTTTTAAATGTTTTTTCATGAGCTTCGCGTATATTTTTTAAATATTCTTTTAATTTTGTATTCTGTTCGAAGTCTTCATAGAAACTTTTATTAAATTTCTCATCACACATTTTAATACTTCCCAGGAATCCTAAAAAATCATTTTCCTTCAATGTTTCCAAATGCCCATGCAATTTCTTAAAAAAATTTTTTTACAAAATTTATAGAACTTAAAATTGAAAGGAATTGATCTTAAGGGTCTCGAAACAATGTCCACATTCAACCATCTACTAGTGCATTTCAATTCTGAATTATTATTAGTATCTCCTTATTTTATGTACATATATAGTAAAGCGGTTGGTCCCGTTCCCCAGTGCCTTGTTGGTGAATTACTAGTTGATGTTATAGCAGAGACGCGCATGTTGCAATCATGTGTGAACTCCTCAGCGTATAGAAATAAGTTAATCGCTCGCAATGGGGGAATATAGGGAGAGCTCTTCACTATAAGACTCGATGGATTGGCCGGCCGGCAACTTTGTTGAATGAATGAAAAAGTGATCTGCCTTTGCATATTCCATTAAAGCTTATATGCACCGACTATTTTCCAATCGCTTTCCCAAGGATAAGTTAGTGGCGATGTTAAGCTTAGATAATGGAAGGCTAATAACTCTCTGGGAATGGCCGTTTGTGGCGTTCTTTGTCTTTTCTCTGGGAACTTCCGTTACTTAGCGCAAAGTTTAGAGCGACATTATTGTTCAAGTGATTTCAGGATGATCCCAGCCTTACAATATATACTCGGTTGAATTTTTTTCAATTGGATTTTCCAAATACACCTGATTTAGATTATTCTTAAAAAAACCTCAAACTTTTCCTTCACCATGGTTGGTAACTCTTTTTCAGAACCGTTTTTCATAGTTTGATAACGTTCATTAAAATGATTCATAAACTTTTCAAAGTTTAAATCACTTGTAAAGAATTTTGAAATTTGTCCATCTAATTTATTTATCGCTTTAATCTCCTTAATATATATTTTTACTTTATCCTTATCTGAAATAATTGCAATTAAAGGGAGTGCTTCGTTTTCAAATTTTTCTGTATTTTGAACGTCTTCTGCTTCCTTTTTTAACAATTCAATCATTTCTTCGTTCTGATTATCCACTTTTTCTAGTTTTTGATAATCAAAAACGCTTCTTCCAAATTTAAATGGACCAAGTTTAACCGACGAATTCGCAACAAAATTAGCAAATAAAATTAAAATAAAATAAAAATTGAGGTAATGCATAGAATTTTTAGATGAAATTTTCGCAATTTTCATCTAAAATAATCTTAAAAATTAATAAATATTGTTGACTCTAGTGTTAAATTAAAGTTGCAGGAAACTAAGTGGACTTTGATTAAAAGGCGGAAAAAGTAAATTCACGTGAATAGGGAAAAGCGGAATTCATACGCTAGGCTATAGGAGGTTAAAGTGTAATCAGTGGGAAACAAGCGATAAACACGCCCAAAGAAAGATGTTTATAATACAAAAGCAAATAGGAGAAATCGCTTCAGTCGGCCTAGACTGAGTCATTCTTTTATCCAGTTGAAGAACCTTCCAACTGAGCTTTTATATTATTGTATACGGTCAGCCTATTGCTCGATCAAGCGGTATACCGAAACCATTAACCCTACTTAGCTCTAGCACCTCTGGGATTCAAACATCTCCCACCTTCAATTCCTTATTCTTAAATAGGCGGGCCCCTATTTAACTATATTAAATAAATAACTTTTGAGGAATTAACTCATCTTGACTATTTTTAAAAATTTTATGCTGAAAGTAAAGCTGAAAATTTTTCAATAAGAGTGGTGTCTTATTATAAATTCTTAATTGTAAATCCAATTTGGATGTCGGTGCTGAAACTCATATTTTCAGCCTGCGCTTCATTGTATATTATTTACTTGATTTTAATGTGTATGTGTGCTCATCAGCTTTATTAAAAGCAAAGATAAACACTGAAATAACAACAACAGCGGACTGAATCTTCATTAAATAAAACGCCGAGAACGAATTGGCGCTGCGCATTTTTAGACAATAATTTTTTTAGACATAGCTATTTAAGTGAACAAGAATAGACTTCTAATTTTTTCTTATATGGACAAGTCAGGGTAAAACGCACGCCTCTATAATTGTCTCGCGGGAAATTTTCTAAAGCCCCTCCCTTTTTTAATTTTCTTTCTCCCTAGAAATTTTTAGTCTGGGAAGGAGAGGCAAATAAAACGTCTTGGAGTTAACGAATACAGTAGTTTCAAGTGTTGGTGGCCAGTGTTTGGAAGCTCGTGCCAAAATTCATACTTGTGTTTGTGAAACTTAATCGTGAAATCCGTGAATCCTAATCTTTGTCAAGGGAAAACTTTTTCTTCTCGCTAAGATAGAAAGTAAAGTCTCCCTTATGCTTAAGAGAGACTTAAGGAGACTTTACTCTCCCTTACTCTCTCCCTCTCCCTTATCTCACTTATGCTTTTACTCTTGCCTCTTTTTGACTCGCGCGATGCACAAGTCTTATGTCTCTTACTGCCTTTAGAAAGGGCATTCACGAGAATAAAATGTCAAAGCTCACCGCATGACTTGCCAAACATATGAGCATTGGATAAAGGAACTTTTATATTGATTTAATTAATTTAATAAATAATTAAATTAATTAATTAATTTAATTAATTAATTAATTTAATTAATTAAATTCGTCTAAACTTTATTTTTTTTTCTCCTCATGGCTAACATCTTTCGTTTTTCTCTTTTAGCATACCTATTTGACGGTTTTTAGGGGTGTATTTTTCACAACCCCAAAAAATCAAGACAGACCTAGACCAAAAGATCAAGACTCTTGACCAAAGTCTCGGACAAGTCAACTTTTTATAACTTTATAAAAAGTTTTTAAAAAATGTTTTTCCGCTCTGGGTTTCTTAATAGCATTGTATTGCTCAAACCTAATTATAAAAAAATTTTCAATTGAAATGGACCGTTTTCCATTGAGTTATGTCGAAAAAACATGGTGTGCCATCTTTTTGTTACGCAGTGTATTCAGTTCAAAGGTTCGATTCGAGCATAATACAGTTGCATCGTAAGGGCTCGAACGTTCGAGACTGGAACGGTCCTAACACTCCTCGAATGATCATACTCGGAAAAAAGGCCCTAGAATTGCCTTGAACTTTGCCAATACATGAAATCCGCGGTTCTTAATCTTTGTTATAGTCTGTGTCTTTTAATTTTTAAATCTTTTACTCTTGTCTCTTTTTGACTCGCGCGATGCCCAAGTTTTATGTCTCTTACTGCCTTTAGAAAGGGCATTCACGAGAATAAAATGCCAAAAACCACAGCATGACTTGCCAAAAATCTATAGACATTGAATAGAGATATTGATTTAATTAGTTAATTAAATTAATTTAGTTAAATTAATTAAATTAAAATATAAATTTATTTTAAATTTTTAATTATTTTATTAAATGTTTAAATTAATCTGATCCGCACGTCTGAACTTATGTTAATAGAAAATTTTTCTAACAAATAGATATAATCATCCGGTAACGCAGAAATTGTATTGTAAAATAAAATTTTAACTTTACCATTGACCATCATTACCTTATCTAATTTATTCGACGCTTATAGTAGCAGTAATTAAAAATTAAATTTATATTTTGCTCTAATTGAATGACTCCTCTATTTGAATAACCCTTCAAATTGGATGACAAATTTCTGGAGTATTGAAAAATAGAATGATTGTCATTCAATACGGTATATGTAATATACACAGTATATTATTTAGTTCATATCGATTCACGTGCTTCTGGTCATAACCGAAAACTGTGCTAGCGTTTATTTTAGAGAGTAAAAAGAGGCTTGGCTGTGAAAAATGGTCACCTCATTTCATCGTTCACAATTCGTACAACCCTAGAAAGCGGCCAAAGAATGTTGACGAATAGGGTTGACCCAGGGTGGCCCTTTTACCTATTTATAGAGGATTTTCCCTATTTTTGACATTTTCGCCCTATTTTTCCCTATTTTCTCATTTGCCATATTTTTGCCCTATTTTTACGATCTTGTAAAATTTTAAAAATTATTCGGATTTTGTGAGAAAAATAGTAAAAATGAAGGATTTCTGACTTCCTGGCCTTCCAAAATTCTCAAAATTTTTGCCTGCGGCGCAAAAAAACGGAAGAAATATGGCTTCTAGCCTCCCAAAATCCTCAAAATTTACGCTTGCGGCGCTAAAAAAGGAAGAAATTTGGCTTCTTGGTCTTCCAAAATTATCAAAATTTTTGCCATATTTGAAATTTTAATTATGTTTAAGTTTTTAAAGCTATGCCCTAATTTGTACCCTATTTTTGCCCTATTTTTGAGTGGCTGCGCCCTATTTTAGTGTTTTGGAAGGGGCCACCCTGGGTTGACCCCAGGGCCAGTCATGTGAACACATTTTATTAGTCATCCTTATATGTAGAAATTGCAATTTTTATTTACCTTTCATTCATTTTTCCTCTCCCGATTTTAGCTTTGGTTCTTATCTAAATATTTATTGACTGAGTATAAGTATTTTTAAGCAAAAGCTTCATTCATTCATATTATTATTACTATCATTTTTGTTTGCTTTACTAGGCTAGCCTGTCATTTTTATTTTAAATTATAAAGATAAACAAATACATATATGACAAAGTATATGATACGTAGGCTAAAGATAATTTATATGTCAACCCAAAAATCTCTTCGAGTTGAGTCGAAAGACGCCAAAATTATCGAAATCTGATTTGATTTGTCAAAGTCAAGACCGTTTGTTTTTACCCCTCGCATAAGAAATCGACTGCATTATTCGAATATGCAATTAAAAGCTCATTCAACTCGATTGACTCGAAGTCTAACGACGGTCATTTTGAGCAATTACTTTAATAAAATGATTATTATATCCTATTGATTATATTTTATCATTTTTTTATGTTAAATGAATTTTTTACAATAGATTTTATTAAAAACATTTGTCACTGAACTTATGCCATACCCTGTATAAGTTAAATAGATTAATCAGTATCGTGATTCGAGAGTATTACTTTTCAGTATCGCATTCACAAAGATCGGTATCGGAAACATTAATTTTATTCCGATATCATAGCCTGTTTGAAATAGAAAAATGGTTTGATTCTCGTTATCCTAACCTGTATCGGTATGAAATTGTTTTCCCGATACTCAGTTCAGTCACTCAGATTACTTTATCTGGATTTTACATTCAATCTTCTCTTCGATATTTTACAATAATACAATTGTCTTAGGTGTAATTTTAGTAAAAAAATATATAAATGGCATCAGTTCCATCAGATATTAATCTAATTATCAACAAATTATCAACTATTGATAAAGAAAAAGATAACGATATGAATGAAAATATTGTAAAGGAATCCGGAAATGATAAAGAATGTATCATCGAAGAAAGTGGAGGATATAGCTTGATTGGGAATGATAACACGTATTATGTCCAACTTTACAACAAATTTTGGCCTTATCGAGCACTTAAAATTATAAATTGGGTAAATTTTTTGCTTCTTAGATTTTGAGGTAAAATAAAATAAATAAAATGAAACCTCGGTTCTATCAGATATTAACCTGATAATCAACCAATTATCAAGAAAATACTATCAACCTCAGTTATTTCCAATATTGCCTCATCCTAGCCTACACTAAACGGTACTTTTATGTAGTAGTTCGAGGTCGAACTCTTGCTGATGCCGATTTTTGTTTAGACCGATATCGTTCAAACCGATTAATGTTTCATATCCACAGGGTGTTTCCTACAGTCAGATCCTACTCCATATCAGAAAGAATCCCATCACAAATGTCAAGACAGAAATTAAAATATATGGAGATGGGCCTGTTTCTATTTATAACCCCCACTTAATTGACTAAAATGGGTTTTGGAAATTTATTTCTAATTATTATTTTTTCAAGTTTTTATTCTTATTGTTGGTTGCTGGGCCAGTTTTAACCGAAATACACAATGTTCGATGGTCTGAAAATTATTGGTCATCAAGTTGGAATACCAAGAACGATTCTGTTGATGGTTCATTTTTAGTGGGTCAAATAGTTTTGGCTGTGTTGGGTTTTATTGCTATGTTTGTCCATTTTTTTGCCAAAGATTTGTTTAAAGCTGCATTTTACTCATTAATGGTAAAGATTAGTAAAATTTGTTATTAAATTTTGCGACTCATGTCAAGAAACCAGAGCCAACTCTAAGTACAGTAATGTGCGAACGATTTTAAAATACTGAAACTGGCTGAAGTTACCTTAACAATGATAGGGTCTGAACTTTATAAGTACTAAATGGAGTTAGCCCGTTCACACTTTTCGGTCTGGCGCACGTTCAGAGCGCCGGTTGAAGGGTTTGAGGATAGGGTGTGGGATGCGCAGAGGACCTATGATTGACTAAGTAAACTAAAAACATTTATTTAATATTTAAAACATACAATAAATTAAATGAGTTATTGGTTTAACGACTATATGGAGTAATATACATATGAGGTTTGAGAAACCATTGGAAAAGGGGAAAATTTGTTTTAAAGCCCTTAATTTCTAGGATATGTGCTTCTTTATATTCTCCGTTCCAATACTTGTCATCGCCACCATTGTGTTTTCATCCAGATCCATATCATTATATCGCTGGTTGCGCCCTAAGCTTGCAACTTTCAATTACACTTTTGAAGCTTATGTTGATATTACTGAAAGTGTGCCATACCCCCGCTACCCGTGGAACTATAATTCAATGGATGAATATTTTGCTTTGGAAAGGGATGATACTCAGAAGAAGGAGTATGATTTGGATATGCTTGAAAGGCGTAAGAAGGACATTTTTATAAATGTTTTGATCAATCCGACTTTTACGGTTGGTTATCTACCTTAATCTTGGATGCTAATAGGTCTGGATGATTCGGATTTATGAGTAAAAAATCCAAACAAATCTTTTGTATCCATCTTTTGACTACTAGATCCATCTCTTTACTAATATTGGGTGGGGGATGTCAAATAGAGGAAGGTAGACTATGAGAAAAACGAAGGCATTCGAATGAGAATAAGAATTTAATAGAAGCACAACTTCCTAAAAGGCTTCTCCTCACTCAATTCTCTCAAATAAAGAACAAAAATTTTTCAAATCCTAAACGAAACGATCAAATCTATCAGTCTCATACTCGATCTAATTTAATAGGTATTAACGGCAGTCACTCTCATTCTCAATATTTATTTGATTTTTTGTCTTTACAAAAAAATGCGTAATGCAAAATTATGGAATGATGGCGTAAAGGACTACTTGGCATTATTTCCAAATTGTTCTTCAATTGAAATGAAATATGCTCATCTTGGAAAAATAAAAATGCTTCAATGGGTAAAAAGATTAATAAATACTCATGGGGTTTACATCCTTTTATATTTTTGGAATTAATTGGAGCTGGTCCTTAACGGTTCTATTATTTTCTCTGTTTTATCTCTTAGAACACTACTTAGGAGTAAAAATAAAACTCATAAAACGGCATCTAAATTTCGAGAACATTTTTTGTATGTTCGTAAGGGCATACTACTAATTAACTTTAATTTTATTTATCAAATAGATCTTGCCATTAACTCCCCTGTTGGCATATATCTACTTGCCAGGATTTAGAGATTTTGGCCGTACTTCTGTTAGATATTTTTGGGCTCCGACAATTATTTACTTGATTAATTGGCTTTTGTATTATACAACTTTACATCTTCGATATCCAAAAGGACAAGCTGACAAAGCAATCAAACTGTCATACTTTTTCTTTACCGTATAATTTTTTAAATTTAAATTTGGGGGTATTTTTCGTTATATTTCTAATGTCTAATGAAAAAACTATCTAATGCTATAATAAGTCAATTTTTCCGATAAACATAAAATAGATAGTAACATTAACTAAAACTGAGGCTTTTTTAAAAGCAATTAAATTTCCAATTTCCCTAAATAAAGTGGGTGATTACCGATCCATTGGGAAGGCTATTTCGGGAACGATGGATGATGTAAAACTTATTATAAAAAGTTAAAATAAACGCAAGACCCTCTTATGTATCAGTGAGGGTCTTCGGAATAACCTTTTTCAGTAAATTGACATTAATATTCTATTGCTATTGTAGTTTGAAAATGTTAACAAGATCCAAAAGTTACCTTCAAGGATATAAATTTAAAAGTCGGACTAATTAACATAAATTTTTTAAAGGATCTTGTCCTGTCGTCCTTCTTCACCCTTTTATTTATAATCAAGATAAATGAGGGAACTGGCCTACAGGTTATAAAAAATTTAAAATTTTTTACTTCTCTCATTTAGCAAATATACTTTATAATGCTTACATTAATAATTTTCTATGGTTGTTACTCTTTAACGTTGTGTTTTTTATATTTACGGACCAATAAAGGATCATTTAATATCAAATTACCAATTTCAATCAAAATTAATTTTGAAATTAAATTGAAAAAAGAAGAGGAACTGAACAAAGTTAACATAGAGGAAACGGAAGAAGATGTTAAAAAGAAAGAAAATGGAGGGAATAATGAGGAATAAATTATATTCTAAAAAATTTAAAAATAAATAATTGTATCCGTTTTAGCGATAAAATTTGTTAACGTTTATCCGCAAATTGAATAACTATTGGTTTTTTGGCCAAGGGTTGTCCGAGATATACCAAAGTCTACAAAAAATAACAGTTACGTTGATTTCTGGGTTTGTAGATCTCGATGTAGGGGTTATGTTAGCAACTTGTTAGAACTTATTTTCAATTGACATCAATAGATATGCTTACAGGAATTTTTGTAGATTTTTAGAACGGTCCCTAATGCCGAAAATTAAGGGGTGCTTATAATTATCTGACAGTCGTTTTCTAAAAAATATCAGTTACATCCCCTAATATCCATAAATACTTTATATCTGATTGTTTTTTTTTTCGTTCGAATATGAATTAGAAATTAATAAAAATATTTAAAACTATGTATGACACTTTAAATTTAATTATGTTTTTTACTTAAAAACTAGGGGTGCTTATAAAGTAAAAAGTCCTAGCGTGAAGAACAATATAACTTTCAGCGACAAATTCTAACATGGTCATCACAATATTGACGAATATGATCGTACTTAGGCCAAGATATACACATTATTCGCTGGATAGTTAACATAAAATTGCAACTATATAATCTTCCATCTTTTAATATTTAATAGCTTATTTATTAGTATGTTTCTTATCTACCTATTTATTGACAACATTTTTTGTTAAGCAGCTGTTTCAATGAATAATAATAATAATGCTTGTTTATTTTAGCTATCCTGTCAATTTTAAGTAAGAAATAAATAAATATCATTGATACATATATATTTTTTTCGAATTTTTTCTTCATAATTTAATTATTATAAGTAGAGTTGATCAAGACGAGACCGAGACCGAGATTCTTGGCTTTTTTCCAATATCGGTCTCGGTTTTTTCATTCTCGGTCTCGAACTCGATCCCAAATCTCCATCTCAATCCCCCAAATCACATTATCCATTTTATCCAATATCAACTCTAATTATAAGGTCAACTCTAATTATAAGGCCGTCAAGAGTTCCTTCTAGCCGAGCAACTAAAGCAAAAATTTTCTTAATAAAATATTTATTCTACTATTAAATTTAGAAGAAAAACAATGACATCAATTCCATCGGATATTAATTTAATAATAAACAAATTATCAACAATTGATAAAGAAAAAGATAACGAGATAAATGAAAATATTGTAAAAGAATCCGGAAATGATAAAGAAAATATCATTGAAGAAAGTGGAGGATATAGCTTGATTGGGAATGATAATAACAATTATTATGTCCAACTTTACAACAAATTTTGGCCATATCGAACGCTTAAAATTATAAATTGGGTAAAAATTCTGCTTTTATTGTATGGTCGAGTTATTATTAGGTTGAGTTTTATTGTTAGGTTGAGTTAAAAGTCCACATAGGGGTATCTTAAATTGATATCCAACTGTATTTTTGCTATAATCTGGAAAAATCAAAAAATATTTGAGGCAAGCAGGTTTCGATTATATTCACCATAAGTGACTTTTAAATTTATAAATTTTTAAATACAGTATTTTAAATATAATTTTCAAGATTTTATTCTTACTGTTATTTGTTGGGTCAGTTTTAACTGCAGCAAAACCTTTTCGATGGGCTAAAAGTTATTGGCCATCAATTCCGCCATATAATGATTTTGATATTTGTGGTTTAATTGCTATGGGTCAACTAGTTTTGGCTATAATGGGTTTAATTGCTTTAATTGTCCATTGTTTTGCCAAAGATTTATTTAAAGCTGCAGTGGCTTCATTGATGGTATAAATAAAAATTACAGTATACAATAGCTCCAGCTATAAGATAACCCTATAATGGATAAACCTCAATACTTTTTAAAATATTGTTTTCCACTGGGTAGCAGTGATATCGAAGTTCCAGTTCCGGAAAGCTCCAGTTTTAGAACTAGAACTACGGAACTAACGATTATCTGAAACTAGTTTGGAACTAGAACTATGGAACTAGTAAATGCCCGGAACTAGCTTGGAACTACGGAACTAATAAATGCCTGGAATTAGCTTTAGAACTAGTTTCGGAACTCATTAATAATTTTTGACCTGATAAGTCAAGTTATTTGGTGATTTTACATTATCGAGTCAAACAATTTAATAAAGAACTTTTAATAAAAGATACCGTTTATTAAAGGCTTTCGAATGATATAAGATCACTTGAATTGGATTAATCCCAGAGAAGTTATAGCCAATCAAAATTCTTTTATGGTTTATAATTTTTAGGATATGTGCTTCTTCATATTCTCCATTGTAATACTCGTTATTTCCACCATCGTGTTCTCATTGAACACAATTTCACTGTATCGCTGGTTACGCCCCAAACTTGCAAATTTCAATTACACTCTTGAAGCCTACGCTGATATTACTGAAATTGATATGAGAAAACATAAAGAATGGGGTCTAGAAGGTTATACTTTGGATTTGATTGAAAGTCATAAGAACGAGATAATTATAAATGTTTTGATTAATCCGATTATGACGGTTGGTTGACTTTTACGGGTAGTTTCTAAAGGGTAAAATCTGCAGCTCTGCAGGTTTTTTCCTGCTCAAAAAAAGGAAACAGGACTCCTTAGTCCTTAATTAATTATTTCCCTCAAGCCATCAACTGACTGAAAGCGTTTTGTGACTGATAGTCCTTAGCTGAACCTTAATAGTCCTTAGCTGAACCTTAATAGTCCTTAGCTGAACCTTAATAGTCCTTAGCTGAACCTTAATAGTCCTTAGCTGAACCTTAATAGTCCTTAGCTGAACCTTAATATCTATGTAGTTATATATCTAGCCGAATATCTAGTTAATATTTTAACATCGAACTCAATTTGGCTCTTGTCCAGTTCATGCGTCCCATGAAGATATATGCGTCCCAAGAGAATTTATGAGTCCCATAAATATTTATGCGTCCCAAAAATAATTTATGCGTCCCATAAAAATTTGTGCGTCCCAAAAATAATTTGTGCGTCCCATAAAAATTTGTGCGTCCCATGAAATAAATTGAAAAAAATATTGCAAAATTTAAAAAACATTTAAAAAATGTGTCTGTTATAAAGCCTTGCTCAAGGGCCAACGAGTCAATTTTTTGGGCCAATGTTATGTTAAGTCAATGTTAAGTTATAGAACTCGTCGAGCTGTGTCTAATGACACCAAAATCGAAAAAATCCGACTTGATTTGACCGAAATACAAACCCCTGAAAATTTAAAAATCACGCAAATTTGTAAAGATGATAGCTCATTCGAAAGAACTCGTCAAGCTGAGTCGAATGACACCAAAATCAACTTGATTGGACAAGATTTGACAAAGATATGACATTAAGTAGACCTATCAGAGTCTGCGACTTAAGTCAAAATTTTGACAAATTTTGTAATTTTTGAATATTTTTTCAATTCATTTCATGGGACGCACAAATTATTTTTGGGACGCATAAATTTTTATGGGACGCATAAATTATTTTGGCTCTAGTTTAGGACATGCGTCCCATGAGAGTTTATGCGTCCCATGAGCTTTTATGAGTCCCAAAAATACTATAAGCGTCCCTTCAGAGTATATGCGTCCCAAAAATAGTACAAGCGTCCTATCAAAGTAAAAGCGTCCCAAAAATAGTATAGGCGTCCCATCAGAGTATGTGCGTCCCAAAACTACTTTTTTACATTTATTAAAAATGACAATTAAACACATTATTATGCTTCCTTGCTCAAGGATCAACAAGCAGAAGATTAAATTTTGTTCTAGCATTAATCGATTATTAATATGTAGGGTAGCCCCCCGAGCCTTCGGTGTCAGAAGTGTCGGGGATCGGAGTTTGACGGGGACGACATGTCAGGTTTGGAATAAAATTTGCGATATATTGGGAGGTCCAGCAGCATTATAGATAATTTTACGATAAGCTACGCAAAATTGTATTTACTATTATCTAGAAATAGACGAGTCAAAGCTATTTCATGCTAAATGTAATCGAGAAGATATGTTATGACGAACATATGACTGGATCTTTGGGACGCCTATACTATTTATGGGACGCTTTTTCTTTGATGGGACGCTTGTACTAATTTTGGGACGCATATACTCTGATGGGACGCCTATACTATTTTTGGGACGCATATTCTCTGATGGGACGCATAAAAGCTCATGGGACGCATAAACGCTCATGGGACGCATGTCCTAAACTAGAGCCATTATTTTTGGGACTCATAAATTTTCTTAGGACGCATAAATTTTTATGGGACTCATAAATCTTCATGGGACGCATAAATTTTCATGGGACGCATGAACTGGACAAGAGCCCTCAATTTTACATCGACCTGTCCGAGGACCTAATTATAACTCCTAACAATTGACTTCTAGGACGAAATGGATAAAATCGAGAAGAATCATTAGTATTTGCTTGTCTGGGATATAAATACTTTAATGTACTTGATCAAACTTGCTGAGAAGGGGTGTGTGTTTATTATGGCCTCAAACTTTAAAATGGCCTCAAACTTAATTAAATCTCAAACTTTAAAATCTAATCTACTTAATTCAATAGGTATTAACGGCAGTTACACTCCTTTTAAATATTTATTTGATTTTTTGTCTCTACAAAAAAATGCGTAATGCAAAATTATGGAATGATGGAGTAAAAGATTACTTTGCATTATTTCCAAAATGTTCTACAATTGAAATAAAATATGCCCATCTTGGAAAGACAAAAATGTTTCAATGGGTAAATGGGTTAAAAACACTTATGAACCTTATTCATAAGTGTTTTTCAAACTAGGAAAACTTCGTGACCGTAAGAATATTCATAACCGTGAATAAACATAGTAAAACAAGGAAAACGATGTGTCAGACGACCGTTTCGGCCTTTGTTGATAAACCCATTTTGGGGAGTAAGTCTCACGCCCGTTCAGTTCCGGTTTAAGGTTTGGCTGTACCTGGATTAGGAGGAGAACCCGTATTAAGAAGGTTCCTTACTGTTCGGGGGTCCTTACTGTTCCTGGGTCTTTATGATTTCACTTTATGATATTTCCATGGTTTTCCGTAAGAACTCTTACTTCGATTCAAAAGAAAAGATGATTAATCATCTACTTAGAGATTAATAAATTTATTTCATAGTTATTGCCGTTATCTCCTCTTATGGCATATATCTACGTACCAATATTTAGAAATGATCGTCATACTTCTGTTAGATATTTTTGGGCTCCGACAATTATTTACTTGATTGATTGGCTTTTGTATTATACAACTATACATCTTCGATATCCAAAAGAACAGACTGACAAAGCAATTAGATTGTCATACATTTTCTTTACCGTATAATTTTTTAAATTCTAATTTGGGGGGGGGGGGTACTTTTCGGTTACCCATTTGATGATTTACCTAGTGGTATCTTAAGCGCTTTTCGGGAGCTAAAAGATCTTCAAGGTGAATAGGGTACCTCTCGTTTATCCATTTGATGACTACCTAGTGGTATCTCAAACGCTATTTTGTGGGTTAAAAGATCTTTAAGGTGAAAAGTCGCTCCGGCATCTCATTCGTCGATCACCAGTAGGCCTAGCAAGCACTTGAAGCTTTTATCAGTTTGAAAAAACACCCATAGACCGTGAAAAGTACCAGCAAGAAAATTAAGTTAAGATAATCCTAATTAAAATTCAATTTTAAAAAAGGATCTGTTCTTGTCCTTCTTCTTTACCATCTTATTTATTATATGTGCAGTAACTATGGGAAATGACTTTGAAGTTTTTAAAAAATTTTTGTTAATTTTAATATTTTCATTAAGAATATATTCTTTATTATATTAATAATCTTCTATGGCTGTTACTCTTTAATGTTGTCATTAATATATTTACGTAACATGGAAGGATCATTTAATTTTAAATTGCCAACTTCAATTAAAGTTAATTTTAAAATTAATTTCAAATCCGAAGAGGAAGAGAACAAAGTTATTGGAGAAAAATTGAAAGAAGGAGACGAAAAGAAGGAGGAAAATGGAGTGGAGAACAAATAATCACTCGCTCATAAATTATTAAAAATAAATACTTGAATAAACAATTGTAATATAATTTATCAGATAAATTTTTTACGATTAGTCTACACCTTCTGGATTAGTCTACACCTTCTGGATGCCGTTATTAAAAAAGTTACTCTATAGAAATTTAGAAAATCTATGAGAATTTGAACCAAAATCTGACAAAAAGGCTCCCTAATTATCTCCGCAGTTCCTTACCTGACAGACCATGCCTGAGCCTTCCAGACGTGTCGCCAAACACCAGGTACCATTGACCGGCTGTACGAGGCGTCCAGTTAGCCACATTACATCAGACATGATCTGCCTGAAGCGCAGCGGCGCTTATTTCCAAAATTTTCATTCAACCAGAGAACTGGTTGAGTTACGAAGAACTGATGAATGAGTGAAAGTTTTCTCCTTATATACTCTCCAAAAATTGTTGCAAGAGTTTTAAATTCAGATCTGTTGTATCTGATGCAACAAACAGAAAAAATTCTGAAAAAAATGAAAATAATGTTCGAATTTTTTCAGAATCATTATTTTTCAGAAAAAATACATTTAACTCGAACTACATTATTTTCATTTTTCTTATACTTTATCTAATTTACAGAAAAAAGAAAAATTACATTTTCTCAAAAAATTTATCTAATTAAAAAATATATAAAAATCGCAGAAAAATTTACTTAACGTTCGAAAAAATGTTTTGAGAAATTCGTCGGCTCCGCAAGTTTCGGTCCGCAAAAGTCGGTCCGCAAGTGTCGGCCTGCCATTTATCGTTATATTAATAGCTGTGGGGTAATTAAAACAATTCAAAATTAATTCATTTATAAATTAGAGTTATTTCAAAATATATGTTATATTATAAATTAATAAAGATGATTTAATTATATTACTAAGAATTATTATGTTAATATCATCCTTAGAAATATCAAATTAATAATAATGATGTAAATACATATAATTTAGGTTAAACTGGAAGATTATATAAATAAACAAAAAATTAACTTTAATAAAGCAGCTGGGCTATAGCTTTTTCTCTCCTTTAGCTAGTGCAAAAGGTTATTCGGCGGCTAGGAGCGAACCAGCATCTTCAGTAGACCGGACTGATGTGTTAGCCATTACACCACGCCGCCTACTGCTCAGCCTTAGGAAATTAATAGCTATATGCTTTACACTTTAAGTTGTAATAATATAGTAAAGGTATAATTGTTCGTTCCAGAAACCAAATCATAGCACAATTCTCGATCATCCATATCGAAAATTCCGAGCTATCTAATTAATTTTTCTAGTTTGAAAATGCTTTTCTCCAAATTATTTAATTTTCTTAAAATTGTTAATTATTATTTGATAATTAAAGAAATTAATAATTAAAGAATTAATAATTAAATTAATAATTAAATTTCTTTAATTTAATAATTAAAGAAATTGATTCAATGTATATAATGCAAAATACAATACAAAATCCTCGTAAATTTATTTATTAAAATAAATAATATTATATGTAGTAAGAGGATATTAAGATTTTGTACTTATTGTTAGTCAATTCCTGAAACTCAACTTATGTCGTTTTTTAGAACTGATCTAGGAAAATATAAAAAATAAATCGAGTCGGCTAGATACCTGATAGCTAAGCCTTATTATCAGGATTAAATACAGTCTATTTTTTATTTTTCATGGTCTTACATAAGTAGGAAAATAAAATAGTGGGAGATAGATCCGAATCATATATATCGAACATATCTTATTTATCATATACATATTTTCAATAAATTTACTTTTAGGATTTTTTGTCATTTCCTAGTTCCGACTAAATTTACTTTTAGGATTTTTTGTCATTTCCTAGTTCCGATTTCCGACATTTTTAGTATTACTGACAGTGGCTTTTCATCAATTCTCATTTATTTTTTATTTTATGTTTTATATTATAGCGAATATTCAAATGTTTGGAAATAAAAAATATATTCCAACAAAATTTGTTCCTTTAAACATTGGAAGTTCAAAATTTTCCAATAAATTTTCGAAAAAAATTAAGGCAATGAACGAGCCTTGGTACGAGAAAAACGATTATTACTACAATTTTACCAAATCTTTAAAAAAAGAAAATTTAAAAGAAAATGTGAATTTGGCAAAAGAAATGGCTGAAAATTATTTAAAAGAAAATAAAAAAATTGAAAAGGCCAAGGATAATGGAATTGAAATTAATTATTTGGATAAAATTAAAGAAAATGAAAGAAATAATTTTAAAAATATTTTAATTTTAATTTCATTTATGAATGAAAATGCTCAAAAAGAAAATTTATTTTTGGCTGTGGATGCATTTAAATCTTTAAATTTATTAGAAAAATTAAAAGTTGAAAATGAAGGATTTATTAGATTGTCAAAATTTTTAATAAATCATTTTGAAGATGAAATAAATAAATTGGAGGTTGTAAAATATTCGGCTTTTGTCCAATTTTTCAGTCCATACACACCTTTATAAGTCGAACAAAATGTTAAAATTTACGTCCCAACAAATTTTTTGTCCCCCAGATAAACTCTATTATGGTCCGAAACAAATAATGATAAAAATACGTTGGCAACATTTTTTGTGGATAATATGCATACGTTCAAAAAGAAGCACAAAATTTCGATTGGATATATAAAAATTTGTTTGACGTATTAACTTTTAATTAGAGCGCGGAATTTCGTTCCGTACCGTATTCCGTACCGTTCTACCGATACGGAATACCGATAAATACTGATAAAATACGGCCGTAGTACGGAATACGGTCCGCGGCCTACTTTTAATTGGTCGTATAACAGTTGATTCAACGTATTATAGAACGTGATTGGACGTATAATCTGGATATGTGCCAAATTATTAACTTGGATTCTTAATAAAATTTCAAATTATTAATTGGACATAAACAGATAGTAGACAGTAGTCCCGGTTTTGGGAAATCAAAATTTAAAAACTCGATTTTCGGTTCTGAGTCATTACAATTTTAATTTTCAATAATTTCCGATTTTTAAAATTTTATAAAAAAGGTTAATTTTAGGAGAAATATTAAATTTTCGGGTTTAACACGAAAATTTTCAAACTATAATCTTTAAAATTTTTTTAGAAAGAATTATTAAATTCCGAGGATAATCAAAATTTAGATTATTATACAGTAAAGAAAAAACTTGGAGCATTATATTTTTTGAAATATATTAAACTAAACGAAGAATTGACTAAATTAATTGGAATAAATAAAAAAGTAAAACAAAATAATAAAGAAAATGTTTTAAAAAAATTAAATAAATTAATTGCTGAATTAACTAAATATAAAAAATTCTTTTCGGAAATTAATAATCCTAAAAATATTAATGGCTCGATCATTAATGAAGAAATTAATTATCAGAATAATGTATTTAAAAATAATTTAGAAAAAGAATTGAAGTCTGTGGAAGAAGGTTTTTTTTAAAGTTAATTTACAAGACGAGCAGGCCAAGGTACCGCAGAGCTATAACTTCGTTCAGAATTGTTGAATCCGGGACGCCCTGATATGGTTAGATACAGGGCGACCCGGATTTGACGACATAACAGGGCGTCCCGGATTCGACATTTCTGAACGAAGTATAGCTCTGCGGTACCTTGGGCCCGCGGTAACTTAGGGTTTAACAATTTACAAGAGTAACAAACCTTCCATCACCTTTTGTTTTACCATATCTCTCTCCAATCACAGCAAAAGATCGCTAATCTTTTATTTCAATTTCATGACTTAGAGAATTTTTTTGTTACCAAAATTATAATTAAAAGAGCTCGGACTGACAAATGAGAGTTATCGAATAAATTTCGATGCTCAATTAGAGAAATTTTTGAACGAGATTTTTCCTTGGTCTTAGTCATTAAGCATTAATCTTAGTCATCACTCTCACTCATCTAAGTCATTAATAAGAAATTTAAAATATCATTTAAACTGAATGATTCTTAAATATGTATCTAATTAAACAAATCCTATTAATTAAATATTAGGTTTGAATTATGCAAAGAATTTGGTAATTGAAACAAATAACTTTGAGCTTTATAAAAATCTAATTAAAGACGATAACGATAAATAAATTGAAATGAAGATAGTAAAAAAAATTCAAAAAATTTTATATAAAAATGCTAAAACTATTGTAAATTATTAATTTTAAAATATTAAAATTGTTAAATGATAAATAAATTTTAAAATATTATAACAATGTAATAATCTTTTATTACCTAAGTTAGTTATATGTATGTGTGCATATTAAATAAAATTAAAAAATATAATTAATTTAGATTAATATGTTTGTAATCTAAATATATATGTATGTATGTATAAGTTGATAAAATTTTAAGTACTAAATATTATAAAAGATAAAAATTAGCTATTTCCTTTTTGCGATTTGAATGCGATTTTATTAGGTGTTGTATCGCCGGAATCATCGTTAAATCACGTGAATAGTAAACATCGTACCAAGTAACGGAAGTTCTAAATTAGCTAACAGAATTTCGACGAATATAGTTGCACATAGGCAGAAAACTAGGCCAAAAAACTCAAAAAACACACAAGATTTTGTCAGAGTTTACATCAAAATTGCAACTCTATCCTGCCCCACTTTTATTTTCTTATTTTTCATATGCTTTGTTTCTTATCTATTTATTGACTATATTTATTATTAAGCAGCTGTTTCATATACTACAGAATAATATTATTTATTTTTGATTTTTGTTTGCTTTTTTCTAAGCTACCCTTCCAATTTTATTTTATGTTTAAGATAAATAATCATATGATAGTATATTTATTATTTTTCTTCTTATGTTTACATTTTAAAGTTAGGCATTTTTTTTCGGCCTAGCGAATAAAGCAAAAAAATGAAACTTTCAGTCGGTGGTATTGAAGCTCGGAAAAATAAAAAGTCCGAGAATCGGGAAACGGGTATGTTCGGGAAATAAATACCTTGGGAGTCGGGATCGGAAGGCCAGAAACTCGGGAAAATTTCCGAATTCGGAAGTCGGGATCGGGATACCCGAGCATCAATAGTCTGAACTGGAGATCCCTTCAAATCATTGCCTTTCTAGGCCAGAAAATCTTTGAAAATATTAAGCTATACATAACTAGATAATTTTTCTCCGTTTAATTTATAATATTACTAAACTAAAATAATTATTTTCGTATAATTTAGTAAAAAACAATGACAGTAGTTCCATCAGATATTAATTTAATAACCAACAAATTATCAACCATTGATAAAGAAAAAGATAGAGTAATTAACGAAAATATTTTAAAAGAATCCGGAAATGATAAAGAAAATATCATTGAAGAAAGTGGAGGATATAGCTTGATTGGGATTGATAACAAGTATTATGTCCAACTTTACAACAAATTTTGGCCTTATCGAGGGCTTAAAATTATAAATTGGGTAAATTTTTCTTATATTTCGGGTTAAATAACTGAAATTAAACCAGTTAACGTTAAACTCGGTTTTATTCGACCTCATTTGGTTCCGGAAAATTAATAACTTAACCCATTTATAGCTGGATAGACACTGTATCAAAGGGTCTGACAATATTTTGCGATTTATTTCGCTAGCACATTAATTTAAAATCATGAAAATGAGTCGGGCTCTCGACTATGTAATTAATATTTTTATTCAAGTTTATATTATTATTGTTGGCTGTGGGATCAGTTGTAACTGAAAGAAATAGGCTTATATGGTCTGGCACTTATTGGGTAACAGGCTACCGTTATAACGATAACATTGATGGTTCATTTGCCTCAGGCCAAGTAATTCTGGCTGTGTTTGGCTTAATTACTTTGATTGCCCATTGTTTTGCCAAAAAATTATTTAAAGCTGCAGTTTCTTCATTAATGGTAATAAATTAAGTATATTATAATACATGGTTTCACTATAATATGCACCTGATACTGCTACATCTTAATTAAATATAGTACATTTTTAATTGATTTGTGGAGCTGCCTATGCGTTAGAGATCAAGTTTTTGAAAAGCCTTGGACTGTTCCTGTATTTTTGGCTTGAATTTACACACCTGGGCCTGTAGTCCATGAAGACCCCAGGAAGGTTAAAAAATGTCTATGTCTGGTCTCTGGGTACAGGAAAAATCCAGACCTTGCTCCAGACCAGCTCGATCTCTTTCCTATTTTAAGATATCCTTCATTATCACATATACTTTTTACAGTAACAAGGGAGTATCTGGTTTTAAATTTTCAGGACATGTGCTTCTTTATATTCTCCATTCCAATACTTATCGTCTCCACAATTATGTTTTCATCAAGATCAATGTCGTTATATCGCTGGTTACGCCCCAAACTTCAAAATTTTAATCACACATTTGAAGCATATGCTGACTTAACTGAAGCTGTATCATATCCGTCTTTTTATGATAAAATATATAGACCAATGGAAAAAGACGAAGAGGTTTTAGAAAGAATTCAACGACATAAGAGGGAAATAATTATAAATGTTTTGATTAATCCGACTTTTGCGGTTCGTTTTGCATATCTTTGGGTATGGGAAGGAAAATATAGGGGCGTTGATATTGAATAAATTTAAGGCCTTCCAATGAGGAATGGGGATTTTATTGTGAATTTTATACAATCATAATATCTAATACGCTTCTGGGTCAAAATTTAGGTCTATTCAGTGTCAAAATCCTAAATCCAACAATCTAATCCACTTATTTCGATATATATTAACGGCAGTAACACTCCTTCTCAATATTTTTATGATTTTTTGTCTTTACAAAAAAATGCGTAATGCAAAATTATGGAATGATGGCGTAAAGGAGTACTTGGCATTATTTCCAGACTGTTCTCCAATTGAAATGAAATATGCTCATCTTGGAAAAACAAAAATGTTTCAATGGGTAAAGAGAATAGATTAATGTTATCTCTGTTCTAAATATTACGGGTACGGGGCCTAGTCGACCCCATTCGTTACAGTTCCGGGATAACTCATTATCACAAACATAGAACCAGAAGTTATGTTTTGAATGTCCAATCGTCATAAAATCTGGGTAACTATACAGTTTTTGGCAGTTCCAAGACTTAACCATAGGTCTTGTAAAGTATTGGTTCGGTTTGAAACCTACTATTATTTACCCGATCTATTTGACTCAAGCATAGGTCCTGGAAATCACTTTACATAAAATATTAAATATGGTGTCGGTTTCACCAAATTGTTCGGTTAATCGAAACCGAACCGAGAAACCGAACCTTAAACCTTCGGTTAACCGAAACCGAACCAGAAACCAATCGCAAATCTTCGGGGTTTCGGTTCGATTCGGTTTGAAACCGACAACCCTAATAGTGAAGCAATATTGTAAAGGCTTAATATTTAATCAAGTCTTCCTAGACAATCTTATTTTTTAGTTTTTGCCATTGTTTTTCTTATTGGCACACGTCTACATGCCATTCTTTAGAAAAAATAGAATCATTGTTAAACAATTTTGGTCACCTACTATTATCTACTTCATCCATTGGCTTTTGTATTATACAACTTTACATCTTCGTTACCCTAAAGGACAAACTGATAAAGCCATAAGATTGTCAACCCTTTTCATTACTGTTTGTTTTCAAAAATTCTTGATAGGGTTGGACAAAACTGTTAAAATTAATAAGTATTGGGTTTGGGGTGCGGTCATCGAGAAGGTTTCAGGTTTCAAGTTTCAGGCGAAACTTGCAATTTTTGGAGAACTAAAGCCAGCTATAGTCAAAAATTTCGAAATTTACGAAGGAAAAATCCTACTAGTTTAGGGAATATTAAACGAATAATCTACCATATTTCCTCTATTAGAATGTCATTCTCTATTTGAATGCCACCCCCTAATAGAATGCCACCTTTGAAGGTGATTGAAAAATAGAATGCCATGGCATTCTAATTGAGGAAATACGGTATTATGTGGGTTACTACAGTCCGCCACATAATTCACAAGTTTAATTTTTGCCAACCCCCGTTCATCATATGTAATGTTTACATTGGTTTTTTCCACGCTGTCCAACCCTAATTTAAATTACACTTCAATTAAAATTCTTTAATTTTAAAAGGATTTGATTTTGTCCTACTTCCTTACCCTTCTATTTGTAGTAAACGTAGCTATGGAAGAAAACCCATTAATGGTATTTTAAAAATTTAGGATTATTTAAATTTTAATTTTTACATTTAGGATTTATTCTTCATGTTAGTAATAATATTTTATGGCCTTTATTCTCTAAAGTTGTCATTTATATATTTACGTAACAAGAAAGGATCTTTTAATTTTAAATTACCTACTTCAATTAAAATTAATTTTCAAATTAATTTGAAATCCGATGAAGAAAAGAATAAAGTTATCGAAGAAAAATTGGAAGAAGGAGACGAAAAGAAGGAAGAAAATGATGAGAAGAAAGAGAAGAATGAGAAATAGATTATTCAGAAAAACTGGAAAATTTATTTAATCCAATTAATCATATTAATATAATCGGACCTCATTATAATGTAATCCTCGGAGCTAAAAAATCTTATAACGATCTGTATCTTTAGTTTGATACTCCATTTGTTTGTCAAAAATTTTTGAAAATCATAGCTTATTCTGAGGTGTATTTTCTTTAATTTCGGTTATGTTTCCATATAGTATAGCAGGTTTATACTATCAATCGGAAAGCTCTCAGGAACAAATCCTGTCAATCATTTGATTTCTTCTCGGACGGGTCGTGCCTTTTTACCTAACTCTGTTGGTTTCTTATAATGAGTCCCAACTCTATTTGATCAGTTTATATTTTTATTAAACTCATCAATTTATATTTTTATAAAAATATTAATTTGTAATTGGAAGATTCGTGTTAAACCTTAGCAGAACGATTATGCATAGAGTCATTTGGATGATGTAAACTAGGCACAATTACCCACCCAAATATTTTTATTGCATCATTTTTACTTAACACGAAAAACAATTACTTAATTATTTACAATTTTATTGAAAAAATCGCCGACTAGTTTTCTATGAAAGCAAAAAGCCGGCACTCACAGATAGTTGAGTTAATTCCCCATTTTTGCATTGTTATTATTATTATTATTTGATTTTATGAAACATAATTCTAGCTTTATTAAGAGGGGTTAAGCTCAAATATTGTTACCGATCGAAATTTCTAGACGCTTCGCTCACCATTAAATTGTGCTGTACCGATTAAGCTACCAGGGCACTGCTTTAACCTTGCTACCAGGGAATTCATAGATGCTAGTAGCAGTTATAAATGCCAGTCCTCCCTCGTTGAAGGAATAACATGTAGTAGAAGTATTACCGGGTTTGTTTAAGTGAGAATAGCCCTAGCTTTTTTCCCTTTCACTAGTAATGTAAAAACCCCTAGCTTTTTACATTATTTTCATTAGTTGTTTTATAAAGCCTTTTTTTTAATTTCTGAAGATGACACAAATAAATTATCTAATATTATTTTCCATCTTCCTTATAAATAAATATTTTTCAACTTCTGCCGTTCCTGCTGGGGCAGGCATAACTCCCATACCCATGGAAATGCTTAATCCTCGATTAACAGGCGAAAAAATTTTTCATAATAATTATTTTTAATTTTGTAAATTTAAAAACAGAATTTCGTCGAATGGATGCCAATAATGATGATCAGATTTCTTTTTCCGAATTTCTTCTAAGTGATCGTTAGTTAATTTTATCTTAGTCTAAGGTTGTTATGAGTTCCGTTAAATATCTTAGATATTAAACACACATCAAAAACCTTAATATCCTCTTAACCTACAAATATCCTCATAATTCTTGTTGATCACTGGTTGGTGGAATTGGATAAGCAATACCCTCAATATATGATACTACTTATTATAGTTTAGATATTTTTCTCCCCAAGGTGTACCTTAAAGTCGAGCTTATATTATATGCTTGATATCAGTTGTGTCTGAGGACAACTAAAATTTTATCACAATAATCATACGATAACGGTGATGAAGAGGACCAAAAATATTTTCTCGTCATTACATAAGTATAAAATTCTATAAAAAATCTTCATAGGCCCGTGGATGGAGACTCTTTCACGTCGTTATCATCAATTAGATGGAAATTCAGATGGGAGAGTAAGTCGGAAAGAATTTGAAACGTTTTTTAAATCAAGAGACGATGCTGCAGATAAAGAGCGTTCACAGGCTGATAATTTCTTCAAACAACTGGTAAGGAAAGTTGAAATTAACTAAAAGATATTTCCATTATTTTTCTCAATTGGTCCAACATTTTTTAACAAAAAAAAACATTTTTTTATTTTTAAAACAGACTGTCACAGTTGGACCAATTGTAGAACGCGAGCGGATTGGAAATGAAACAAGAATGCGCTATTTTTCGGCTGGGGCAAAAAAATTTGCTACTATAGCTCACGTAATAATAATTTTAATTATTTTGATTTTTGTATTGAGATCTTATTTGTTAGTAAAATATTTTTCCGAACAATAGGATTGTTGCTAACATGTATTAAATTTGAGCCCAAAACATAAAGTCAACTAAATCCATAAGGATAAGAAATATTTTTGAGACACCTATTTTTACGTTGATTTTTTAGAAGAAAAATTTCGGCTTTGCATAATGATAAAGTATTATATTAAGGATTGAAGTTACTAATTTTAATGCATAAAGATAATCTACTTTATCCTTTAACTATTATGGGTATGGCTCGGATTTGTATTGAAATATTTCCTGAATATATTATGACTAGAGAAGCCCAAATATGCCATTAGTTTTTGGATACCATGAATTTAAACGAAGACACATTCAATATTTTCAATATTTTGCCAATTTTCCACTGATTTTTAAATTCTGGTTGCCATATGGATGTTTGGAACTCCATAAACTTCCCATATTAGATAACCCTAATTATAATAAGGATTAAAATTTAAGGGAACTGGAATCTTCCCTCCTCCATCAATTACTTCCCCGACTGGCCCCATTCAATCAACACAATCAGGCGAATCATTATTACCAGCTTCCTCTCTCATTCGCGATCATGAACAACAATTCCGGCTTATTAGTGAAGGTGCTGCTCCCTTCTCACAATTAATTGCTTCTTCTCAGCATTCACCTCTTTATAATTTGCGCGGAGGTGTTTTGCCTCATCAATCTGCTCAAATGCTAACTGATGGGAATGGCAATTTGGAAGGGGTGAATCAGGTAATTTTTAGGTTATTTCTCTGATATTTAGAAAATAAATAAAAATTACAGGATGACCAGAAAGTAACCGGATACGTATTTATGACATAATTTAATCTAAATTTAAGATAATGTTATCTAATAAAGCTTACATGATAGAGAAATAAATTATTAAATACCTTATTTAATTATCTGTCATCTAATCCGTATATGTATGACCTAATTATTTTTAATTTGGATAAATTATGCCATGAATAATGTGTCCGGTTACTTCCTGGATACCCTTTATAATGTTAAATATTAATATTGAAACATGAAAACGACTTAGTTTAACAGTTAACTAAGTTAAAGTGAATACTAAGTTAAGTGAATATTCCGAGTAAGTGTAGAGAGAATCCTCCGGTGGAGATATTTCATTGATCAGGACATTTCTCTATACGATGTAAACATAACCAGAGAGTAGATTTGATTTTATCAACATTCATTTAAGTAAAAAATATATCTGCAGTCCAATAACCAAATATAAGAAAAAATTTAAGAAAAAATCAAGGCCTTGAATTTTAAATAAGTTACACAATAGTGAAAGTTATTTTACAAAAAAAATTTTAAATAATTTTAAATTAATTTTTTACGGTAAAAATTTTATTTGACTAATTTAGCAACAACAGCCTCTAATTGGAGCAGTTAATACTCGCCGTAGCCCATCACAACCCCAGTCAATTTTGCCTCTAGATATTAGTGGACAGATGTGAAGAAACAAAAATTAATTAGAAAATTAAATGTTTAAAATTAAGGAACTAATAAATAAAAAGTACATTTGCACTTTTCTTTGAGTTATTGACAAATTTTAAAAAATTAAAAAACAAGTCGGACAATCCCCAATTAAAAAAAAATTTTTTTTATGCCACACAAGGGCAAGCATGTTGAGAGCATGTGCATGTTATGAAATTTAAGGGAAGTTTAGAGTAAATTTATTACGATAGAAATTATTTGAGAGAATGTCTAATGATGTCCCTAATAATTTAAAAAAATATTTTATTAAAGAAATTATCAAATATTTTATTCAGAATTAAATTATTAATAATAATTTTTATTAATAAATTAAAATTATTCATAAAAATAATTTAATAATTTTTCTATTAATAATTTTATAAAAGAATTTATTATCACTTTATTATCACCCAGACAAACACGGATGTGAAGAAAATTTTTATAAAAGAAATTATTTAGAAAATTTAATATTTTGTAAACTTTGTGTTGCTCGAGACCAAGGGAGTATTAGTAAAATATCCGCCAATACCCATCGACAATTTATTTCTGTGGTTTGACACCTCAAAAAGTCTCTCACTATAACTTTAATGGGAGTGACGGCTTTCTGTTCCAATATCCGAATTGACAACAGACCCCTTTCGAGAACTTTCAGAAATTTTCTGTTTTCAGGCTTTATATTTTCTCCAAAACTCTAATTTTAGGAAGAAATAACCGACATTTTTCTGATGCTCTAGAAAACAAATTTTAACTCCTAGGATCTAGAAGGAGGGAAATGGAGGGTTGACGTTAAAGAGAACTTCCATTGTATAAAAAAACAAATTTCATTAAGACTCTCACATGCCCTTTCTTAAATAAAAAATTTAAAAAAAAATAAAAAAAACATTATTTAGAATGGGAAAGTCGAGAATGTAAAAAAAATTAAAGGGGAAAGAATCGATCAGTCGCCGCCGACTCTCTCCCCATAAATTAATAAAGCACTTTATCACTGATTATTAATTTTTATTTTATTTATTTTTCATATTTATTGAATTAAATAAAAATTTCATAGAAAATCTAGATTAAAGTTGGAGCTATTATTAGGCCTTTGAGTAGAGACTGCGCCTTCTGACTAAGAACCTAAGAACCCATAGCTAAGAACCCAAAGTCCTTTTAGATCCGAATGATCGAGTCGGGCGTAGAATTTTGGATCGTAAAAGACTCTATCTTTCTGGCACGATAAAAATGATTCGAACGTCGGCCTGACTCGAAAACGGCATATCTAACTAAGAAAATACGTACCACTAAGATACAACGTTACTAAGATACACGGAGCAGCGACAAGCTGGTATTCCTCACTAGAGATCGGTATTTTCAAAAATCCTGGATCTGAATTCTGGATCTGGATTTAGGTTAATAATCTGGACAGGATTCTCGATCTGGATCCGGGAAAAATCCAGATCCAAATTATTCCTACTATGTGAGGAATCCAAACATTGGTCCAAGTATACTAACGTTTTTCCATATTTTTAATAGAAATTCATTAAATAAATCTAATTTTCAGAAAATTAGATTTGCTTTAATAATTTATTGTAATTATAATAAAACTAATAATTATGGCAACCCCATTCACAGCTGAAGAACAACTCGTCCGTCGTTCACTATTTGGTTCCCTGTTTAATGTAGCTGCGAATAAACTACATAAATCAACCCCAACAACTCAACATACAGCGCAAACTAGAGTTGTTCAAGAAAATTTTGGTAATTAATAGGGGAATATTTCTTCCTGTAATTAACATTCCTCTTGGAAAGAAATGTTCCTTTCTGAAAAGGAATATTTTATTGAGAATATAAAGGATTACTATTAACAAGAGAAATCAGAAGTGTCACTCGCTAATCTAACATCCAACCTCTCAACTAAATATTCCTTGAAGAGGGAGCTTCTTGGAAAACGGAGGTTCTTGGATTTACAATACGTGGGATAATTTTGAGGAGAATAAATAATAAAATAGAGAATTTTTAGGCATGACATATTTAGTTGCATATATGAGCTGCAAACCTCAAAAATATTCCTGAACTTGGAAGTCTTGATCAGTGCTTGGAAATTGCATACCTCGTACTACCACTATTTTTAAAGTACGATTATGAGTACGAATTTTGGTACGAGCGACCAAGCACTGGTCTTGATATATGTAGAGTCTGCCACTACCACAAATTTTTCTTTCACCTAAAAATACGTTAACTTTCATATATCAGTTTTATCACAACTCTTCCCGTTTTCTAGATCAATGTCAACAGCCCTGTTCCTCTTCTTCATTATATTCTACAATTCCAACACCTAACGACTATCAACATCATTTTCGTGTTTATGTCGATCCAGAAACTTATTTCCAAAACAACCCAACTATTAACAGTCCAGTCTCCTCCCCTTCCATAGGACAAGGCTCTCCAGCAAGTGTATTAGGCCATCAGTTAGATAGACTCGAAATAGATTTTAATGGAGGATTTTTACAAAATGAGCAACAAATCCAAAATACTCCTCATACAAATAATTTAAAACATCAAGAAGAAATTTATAGAGAAATTGTAAGTGAATGTAGAGCTTTTGAACAACAGCAACAGCCTAATGATAGGGGAGAGACTGAGATGAGGCTGATTAATGATGCTTCTTGTGATATTGATGAGGTGAGAGATTAATTTAAAAATTTCTATTGAAGCATCTAAATTGTGAATTAAACTATCCCCTGCAGACTTCTACTATTGGGTGTTAAGGATTCATTACTTGATTATAGATTTCCATATTTATCCACATATTATCCACATATCCACAACATGGCAAACCAAAGATACTAATATTCTTAACATCCTCCTACAGTATATTCTCTCATAATTACTCCGTCTCCAATAGTTACCCTCTCGAGCCAGAAGTTTTATTATTTTTGAAACCAGAAAACTAGATGTAGTTAAAAATTTTGTGGAAGTCCGACGATAAGAAAATCATTCCAAAATTTATTGTAAGAAGTCTATAAGTATCTGAGATTAATTTTTCATTGACATGAGTGTCCAACAATCCCTTATCATTCCTTTAAAAATTTCAACTTCTTTCAAGAGGATTATTTTAAAAATCATTTCAAAATTAAATTTAGTTAAAAAAAGTGCAAAAATTTTATTTCAAAGAATTATTTCAAAGAATTATTTCAAAATTTATTTACCTTAAAACTTTCAATAATCTTCCTATTACATCACTCTTATCTTTTTTTAAAAATTGGACCCTTTTAGCGCTATTTTTAATTTTCCCTTGTCTTTTTCTTTTCTTAACTATTATTTCATCATTTTATTATTGCATCACCAATCAAAAAAATTTATTTTATATATAATTTAATTAAGAGAAACACCCGAAAAACTTTAGTTAAAACTATTTACCCAAAACAGAAATTATTTTTCCAAAACAGAAATTAATTTTTGTTTAAAAATTTTTAAGTTCCTCACGCCTCCTTATAAATAAGGTTCTGAACACCTTTGTGGCTTATTCCTTTATTTATTTCAATATTACACTATTCATTAAATGTTGAGAAAGATTTTAGGAAAAGTCTAGATAACGGGCAGGATTGAACCTGCGACCACCTGACAGTTATTGGGCGCTTACGCTCACCATGTACAGGTGCTCTACCAATGACTACCGAGGCATCGACATACTTTCTCTTTTCCTTTCGAGATCGTCTAACCCCCGGCTAAGCGTTTTAAATGCTGCTAGGTGAATTATCCTTACAGTCGCTTGAAATGACACTAGCTCTGTTGTTTTTAGTAGGCCACAATCGTCTGTCAATGCCGTACTGTATAAACCCCTGATCTATCCCCTTAAGGAAAGTTACTCGCATTTTTGGAGTGTTAGGAAACAAAAGATCATTTAGTAGACCTCCTATCGAGCTTAACCTCAATTTCAAGATTATTCTTCTACAAACTTCCGATTTCCGAAAATCACGTTATAAGAACAAATTCCGGTACTTTTCCGTTATGACGTAACCCCCTAAATTAATGTTCAAAATGTCATATATAGGGTAGAAAAAGGTACCGAGTCGAATGGTACCACTCTTTTTTCACGGAGATGCCTGTCGGCCGAGATATATGGCTCGAAATGGTCAAAAACGATAGGGGGAGTGCGCCTCGCCTACGCCCCATAGGTTTACGTTGACCACTTTGAGCTTGTTCATCTCGTCTCAAAATCAAGATTTAAAGCTGATTTTGGTGTTATTCGACTCAGCTCGAGGAGCTCTTTCGAATGAGCTATCATTCAAAAAATCGAATTTTTCACCCCAAAAAAGTGCTTGGTCCCCTCTATGGTTTTTGACCATTTCGAGCCCTATATCTCGGTCCACAGGCATCTCCGTAAAAAAAGAGTGGTACCGTTCGATTCAGCACCTTTTTCTACCTTATATATGACATTTTGAACATTAATTTAGGGGGTTACGTCATAACGGAAAAGTACCCAAATTCCATATTTTCAGAAAAACTCTGGTCTGTATAGTTCCTTAAGTCTTTTATGCCCCTAAAACAAAAGATTTTTCCGTATAATTTACTAAACAAAAATATTTTGAGCTATATCAATTATATATTTTTCTAAATAAGATGAATTCAATGATTGAATATTTAAACAACAATGGGATTCCTCCCTTTCCTTCTGGCAGCTCTTTCAATTCTTTATTTATTAAAAATTTGATAAATTATTTAAAAGAAAGGAAAATTGATAATTTGGTAATTAAATCCAAAAATTATTTGTCTAACCTTGGGAGCCTATTTATGAATTGTAAACTATAACGAGTAATGGGGAGTATCGCTTAGACAGCTCGAAACTCGGTTGTCGAGATACTTAGTTTGAAGGTCTCACATAGTGGGTTCGAGCTTAGAAGCTCCACTCCCTTTTGTAAACCAAATTAACTCTGATCTAGTATTTGTGTATAAAGAAAGAGTTAATCAAAAGTTTAGCCACCGGGCAGAACCTGCGATCTCATGACTTTTATGGCTAAGAGCTTTCGCTCAACACCAGGGGCCTATGCAAATTAGATCATATTTCTGATATGACATGTCATATTTATGACACGTCATATGTAAAGTTTCTGTTCAAATTGTGTCATATGAAGAATCATATGCGGCCGTCATATGACACGTCATATTTATGACATGTCATACGTAGCCGTCATATCTCTGTTCAAATTGTGTCATAAATATGATATCAGAAATATGATATCATATTTAAGACATGTCATACGCGGCGTATGATTTTTCCACTGACATGTCATATCTGCGTTCAAATTAACCCGTGTCATATCTGCGATATGATACGTCCTCCTAGCAAAAATCATATGCGGATATATGTACTTTTTAGTGGAAACATCCATTTTTAAAATTTTTTTAAAAATCCAAATCCAACCTAAAAATTCCAAATTAAATATTTTTAGATAGATTAGAGTGTGCTTTATTTTTTGATATAAGTTTCGGGAATTTTTCTTTTAAAATAAATTTATTATAAGCTTTCGCCTAAAGTACCCCATTTTTATGGGAAAAAGGAAAATATTTTTTCGATTAAGCGTCTTTTAAATTCTATAAGTCCTAGGAAAATTGAGCTAAAATTCTGATTTTTATCTTTGGTATGTAAAACAATCTCCTCTATCTAATGGTATAAAATTTGGAGGGATAAAGGGGATATAGGAGAATTTAGAGGGATTAAGGTGGATATTAGGTCTAGAGATTAGTGATCTTAGGAGATTTGTTAAAAATTAAAAAAATACAATGCAATTCAAACTAAAAATTCAAAATTAAGTATTTTTAGATAGATTAGAGTGTGCTTTATCTTTTGATATAATTTTTAAAAATTTTCATTTAAAAAAATCTATCTATTCATAAAGAAATGGAGAGGTTAAAGTGATAGCTGTGGATTAAGGAGGATTTTGGTGTAATTGAGGATAAAGATGTCCGAGCCTATTTCTTGGGGATTTTCGGTCTTGGTCTTGGGGTCTAGTCTTGGCTTGAGTCTTGGAAAATTTTCGGTCTCGGACATCTCTAATTTAGGGGTAAGGTAAACACTCTCCTCTATTTATTGGTATAAAAATTGGAGAGATTAAGCGGATAACGAATTAAAAAGATTAGGGGTATCAAAGTGGGGGAAATACTTTAAGTTCTGATTTAAAAAAAAAATAAAATTTATTTTATCAAAAGAGAAGCCGGCTATTAATTTTTGAAGACATTGAAGACATTTATAAGCCTTTACATTACAATAAAATTTTTAGAGAATAAATTTTTGAAAAAATATTTTTAATATAGCTTTTTAAAAATATTTTTAATATACAATTTGTTCAATGTTTGAACCAGATTTGTTCAAACTAAATCTTGTTCTTGACTCAAGATTTTTTGGGGGTTTTCCGGTCTTGGTCCGGTCTTGATTGTTATTATAATTCCACTTATCCCTTAATTCCACAAATCCACTAAAGACTAGGTTTTATTCGAAAACTCGAGGAAAAATTAAAAATCCCAAGAGATTCCAACAATTTTTATTAAAGCGATTTTATAAAATCCATCATGCAACATTTTTGAAGTAATCCCGGATGTGGGATTTAGAGTTTTTTTAATTAAATTCATTGGGACTCAATTGAGGTATTCATTGGGACTCAATAAGGAAATCATATGCGGGTGTCATATCATATTTTAATTTGAACAGAATAATTTACATATGACGGCTGCATATGATACGGCGTCATATGTGGCCGTCATATGTAGCCGTCATATCCCCGTGTCATATGCATCATATGATATCATAAATATGATATCATATCGTAAATATGATATAATTTGAACAGCTACATATGACGTGTCATAAATATGACATGTCATATCAGAAATATGATCTAATTTGCATAGGCCCCAGGGGTGTGCCGAAACGGATTTTAAAAAGCGAAACGCGAAACGCGAAAGGCGAAATTAAATTTAAAAAGTGAAACGCGAAATGCGAAACGCGAAAGTAAATTTAAAAAAGCGACACGCGAAACGCGAAAGTCCAAAAAACGCGAAAATCCGCGAAAGGCGAAAGACGAAACGCGAAATTCTTACAATTTTCCGATACGCTGAAAAATCTTTAGGGATTTATCAACTCAGTGCTTTGTTCCAAATCAAAGCCTCAACTGAATCTTACAATCACCATTAGGATTTGACAGGCATCCGGGATATCAAGGGATTTGAGGGGATATCAGACATAAACCAGGTTCCATCCTTTATTTTATATCCTATATTTCAGGATATTCAGAAGTCCGTACCTCGCTTTGAAAACATTTCAGTAGAATAGAAGTAAAATTTTAGTGGTTTACGTTTTGGTATTTGTGTGGATTAAGTTGGACTCAGGAGTATTTAGGTAAATTCGGATATGGAGGATTTGAGTGATAGTGGATCTGGGGGAATATCGGGCGACAAACTTATGTCAAGGTTCTTCCATTTTTAGCGGCGCAGGCTAAAATTTTGAGAATTATGGTAAACCAAGGCTCCAGATTTTTTCCTCTTCTTGGGCCGCTGGCGAAAATTTTGAGAATTTTGAAGGTCCTTAAGCCAGTCCTTAAGCCAGATTACTTCTTTTTTCAACGCCGCAGGCGAAAAATTTTTTGAATTTTGGAAATCCTTAAGCCAGATTTCATCTCTTTTCAGCGCCGCAGGCGAAAATTTTTTGAATTTTGGAAATCCTTAAGCCAGATATCATCTCTTTTCAGCGCCGCAGGCAAAAATTTTGAGAATTTTGGAGGTTTTCAATTTATTCGGGCCTCATTTTTTCTCCAACTTTAACATCATTCACCTGTCATTAGGGGTGTATAAAACTTTCGCATTTCGCGCAAAAAGCGAAACGCGAAAGTAAATTTAAAAAAGCGACACGCGAAACGCGAAACGCGAAAGTCCAAAAAACGCGAAAATCCGCGAAACGCGAAACTCGCACACCCCTGCTCAACACATATAGGAGCTCCACGACTGATAAATGAGCTACCGAGGAGACGACTAATGCTTTCTCTTCTACTCTTTTATAATTGTCGTTTAACCCCCGTCTAAGTGTTTTAAATGCTGCTAGAATCATACTTACAATAGTGAGTTTCGACAGTAATAAAAAACGTGTAATTATTATAAAAAATCTGGGAATCTGACCGAAAAGAACCTTTAATATTAATAAAAATAAAACATTTAACAGGAATGTCAAATCGTCAACGCTGCTTTAAACTCCGCGATCCTTTCACCCCAAATCGAACCAACATCACAATTAAACTACTTTCAAGAGCCACAGCAACAACTCTTACTTCTCCCTTCAAATTCACCTTTACAAATAAATGAAAATTCTAATAATAATAATGTTGTTGGCCTATCTTTAGAGCATTTAGTTAAAGTTTTGGTGGAAACAGTTAGGGAGGTGACTGGGACAAGGAATATTACAAGCAATAAAAATGAAAGGGAAGGGAATGAGGAAATTATTACAAGAGACGAAACAGCTGCACAAATACTTGAGAGGAGGAGGAAGCAGGTGAATAAGAATTTTATTACTCGGGCGGAATGCATGTTAACATAAGAGCTTTTTATTACAAAATAGTACAAAAAATGTTTGAAATACAAAAAATTATCAGTGGAAAAGAATTAAATTATAGATTCTGAAAATCTGTATTAAGTTATAACGAATTAAAGAAATAACTAATAAATGAGAAAAGTATCAAATAATTTCACTTAGCGAGTTGTAACTTTTTATTGAGTGATCGGCTTTAAGCTGACCTGTTGGACGTTATGCAAGACTTTTTCGAGGGCTTGTATAACGACCTTTTCGAGGGATTTCGAATGATATAAGATACATTCAGATAGAATCAAGGCTTAATAATACTTAATAAACTAGCTAACGCTATGTTATTCCATACCAACTATTTTAATTGTATGGGGCAACATAATTATATAAGTAACCGTGTCTATTTCAAATATAATTTTTAAATTATAATTCAGAATAATGCCGCCGCTGCCCGTTATCGTCGCCGGCAACGCAAAGTAGAGAATACAATGCAACAAGAGTTGGCTCTTTTGGAACGTCGTAATTATGAATTGCGCACCTCCATAGCCAATCTAAGAGCGGAGATTGAAGCTGAAAATTCCTTACTTAAAGCTATTCAGAGTGGAAAAAATAAATAAAATGAGAAAAATAATTAATAAAATTAAAAATTTTCATATTCTATTAAGTGAATATCACTACTATTTCTTTTTTAATAAAGGAGACACAAGTTATATTTAAATTTCACTAATAGAATTCAATAGAATTATAAACCATAATTATTTAACTATTAAAGTACATCCATGTTGAGTGCATTGGAGATCATGTTTGCCCAAAGTCTAATCCAGGCCCAAGTAAATAAGTCTCGAACTCTTGTTGCACTTATAATTGAAACAACAGTATTTATAGTAGAGACCGGACCGAGACGCTATCTCGATCGAAAAAGGTTATCGAGATAGAGAATTTTTCGAGATCTCGATTCTCGTACGATATCTCATTTCGGTCTCTAATTCATAACATTTCATAAATTTTTATTACCACGTCTTTTCACAAATTTAATTTATAGTCATTTTTTATATTTAATTAAACTTTTTGAATAAAATAATGAATCTTCTGTTATAAAACGAGAAACTTTAAATAATATTTAGTATTAACTGTTAAATCAACTTTTTATAATCATTCACTTTGATTTTAATAAGCTTGAGCGATTTCTCAACAGTCGCGGTAATTCCAACTTTTCAATCGAATTACTGAACATCGTGTATAGGAAACCGTATCGATGTATAAATTCAGGCAGTCGGAAAATCACCGAAAATTGTCACAAATAAATTTTTAGAACTACTTATGAAAATCTAAACCTACAAAATATTATTTTAAAATATTCGAATAAATTTATTAAATAAACATTTCTCCCATCTGTAACACTAGTCGAGAAATATATTTTTATTATTCACTAAACAATTTTGTTATACAATCCACATTTCAAAATTAAAAAATTCTGAATTGAAAAAATTAATTTTCAAAAGTACAAGGAATTCTTTCCTTCCTAAATGGTAATAAAATAAAAATAAAATTTATTTTTTAGGAAGAAATTTAGAGAAATAGAGAAACTTCAATAATATTTTTATATTAACTTCCACGTTTTAGAGGCCAACATGGAATTTTGTGTCAACCAAAATGAGAGAATCTGGACTAATTTTGGCCATATAAATACCCTATTGATTTTGCTTAATATAATCAAATATTTATTTATTTATTAAAAATCCTCTCTAGAGCAACGGCCGCGGTAATACCAGCTTTTCTAAAACACAGAAAAATGAATACTAATACAATTTTCTTTGCAATTTTGCTTGCCGTATCAACTTTAATTTGTACAATTCAAGTAGTTCAATGTATAGAAAATGACTTGAACAGGTATTTTAGTTGGACTAAATACAATTAAAATAATTTTTTAATAATTTTAGTTTCCATTATATCTGAATTACTTGTCTTAATTTACAACTACAATGACCATTTTATTATTTAGAATTATTTTTAGTTATTTTTGAATTTTTATTAAATTTTATTTTATATTTGTATAGTTTTCTAATATTTTTTAGTTGTTTTATTTATTGGTATAAATTACTTGATATCTACTACACATAATATAATTTAAAAATTGGTAAAGGAGTAAAATTAGAATTGGTAAAGGAGTAAAATTATCCGGATCCGTCAACCTTACTAGACATATTATTATAACATTTGTACGATTACACTTTAAGTTCGTTTATGACTTGAACAGGTGTTTTAATTTTTTTCATCTTAATTGTGTGATGTCCATATAAATTTCTGTGGATTTTTGATTGATAAACAAAATTTTACATGTGTGCGTATAATTTTGGATTCTACTATATGGGTCGTGTACTGAATATTTTCATTCAAAAACATAGCCTGCAACCATGAAATATCTCGAAAGAATAAAAATTTAAAAAAAAAAAAAATTTTTTTCAAATTTTATTTAATTTAAATCATGAATCAACGTATTATCTTTGCTTTTAATTATTTTTTCATATTAAAAAAGTTATACATGGCTTAAAAAACAATTTTTGAAATTGTAAAATAAAGGTAAAAACTTATGTTAAAAATGTATTTTAATTAAAAATGACACTAGATGTGAATTAGGAAAGATTATTGTGATTTTCAATTAATTCAATTTAATTTATTTTCTCGAAAATGATTCGAAATTAACTGAAACATAGAGGCACGACTTAAACAGCACTGAAAATCTGGTTGTACTATCTGGCTATTTTACGTTGCTGTGTATCTGTATATACCAGGGTTTCGATATCTGCGGATTTTTCCTCATTTTGTGGTTTTTTGATAGGGCGATGAGGATTATTTTTTAAAATGCGGATTTGCGGATTTTTGTAGTCTTTTGAAGAATATGAGGATTTTTTATATTTTTTGTAGTTTTTATGATAAAATACCACTATTTTCTGCGAAGACCTCCAAAAATCCTCAAAATTTTCGCCTGCAGCGCTGAAAATTGAAGACATCTGTCTTCTGGCCTTCCAAAATCCTCAAAATTTTTGCCTACGGCGCTTAAAATGGAAGATTTTTGGCTTAAGGATCTTTCAAAATTCAAAAAATTTCGCTTGCGGCGCTGAAAAAGGAAGAAATAAAAATTTTTGTCGTCTTCGACGCCAAAAATTCAAGTGTAATTTTTCTGCGAAATAATTATGATGAATTGAGCCATAACTACATATTTATGAATTGATATTTTAGCATTTTTTTCAACCTATTTAGGTACCTATTTTAAAGTTTTTACAACTTAAAAATCCGATAACTTTTATAAATGTACTAATAAGTATATTTTATTATTAGGTTTTTAGTCGAAGAACAAGAAAGGATTCAGTCCAACATTAAGACAATTAATACTTAAGAATATATTATTCGATCAAAACTAAATAATTTGAATATTACTAAATCAATAAAATATTTCAAAAAGTATAAATAACATCATTCTACATAAACAATATTTCACACCTCACTAAAATTTATTTCCATAAGGAAAAACGAGAAACATTATTTTATTAGCTTCAAAAAAATAATTTTGATACTAGCCACATTTCAAATTAAAAAAAATCCGAATTGAAAAAATAAAATTTTAAAAAGTACAAGGAATATTCTTCACTATTTTTGGTAATAAAATGAATATTAAATGTTTATTCAATATTGAATTTATATTATTTTCATAGTTTTTTGCAACATATTTTAGGGAAATAGAATGTATTTTAGTGAGATTTTTATATTCAATTCCACGTTTTGAAGGCCAACATGAAATTAATGTGGTAAGAAAAATGATTGAATCTAGAGTAACATGGCCATATAAATACGCTATTGATTTTAGTTAGATATTAAATATATATTATTTGGTATAGCGGCTCTAAAAGAATTCCTAAGAATATTCCTAATAATTATTCCTAATAATTATGCACATTATTCATATACGGATATTGTAAAGCATATAGCTAATTAATTCCTAAGGCTCTGCTGCTGTAGGCGGTATTGTTTAATGGATAACACATCATTCCATCTACTGAAGATGCTGGTTCGCTCCCAGCCGCCGAATAACCTTTTGCACAAGCTGAAGGAGAGAAATAGCTTCTTGGCTAGATCATAAATAGTTCGACCAGGCTATTCAGATTGGCATAGTTTGGCAGACTGGCCAGGCTATGACCAAGCTGTTCAGATTCAGTATCCGTCATTTTAGGGGTTTTGACGTTTCGTTCATAAGAATTTTCTCATGAAGAAAATATATAATGACTTGCGGACTTTTGACCAAAATTTGCCTTAAACTCGAAAATTGTTGATTAAATTTGTTTTTATATATTTCTCAATCCTTTAAGATTTATTTGATCACAATATCTGTCAATTTACTGGCTCGCTGTATAGTGCTACAATAATGATCCATTATGTATTATATTCTTTATTATATTTCGTGATGTATTCTACTATATTAATTATTTCAACGTTTGGACAAGAGGAATGCTGCTATCCGACTACGTGTGAATGTCCGAACTGTCCTGCTCAATGTCCTGGAATAATAAATTCTTTAGAAATGCTACTTAAAAAGTGAAAAAAATTTACATAATAGAATCATTCTTTAATACTATCTGTTATTATATTATTTTAATATTTTCAAAGTTATTCTTTATTAAAATAATAAATAAAATGTCAATTTCTCTAGATACACAAGATAAATTAAATTGAGTTTTTGTTTTATTTTCGACAATTTTACAGTGTGACCCAAATGATACCGGACACTGATTTACATCTACTCAGAGCCATCCATGTAGGAGTTGGTGTTTTTATCTTTCAGATTTTCCGGTTCGCTAGTGATCTTAATTAAATTCTGTTGAGATCATCCCGTTTGAACTTCTCCTTTCTGAGATAAAGAAATACAATTTTGGGGGGAAAATTTTGATATGGTGTACCTAAAATTACATAACTTTCTTAATCCTTAATCAAAAATTTTTTAATTTTACTATATGATAGAGAAATAAATGAGCTACAAAATAAACTTGGAATTATCTAAAAATGATATGAACAAAAAAAGTTATAAAGGATAGAAAAGTGTCCTGTATAATTTGAGTCACCCTGTATAAAAAGTGGGTAAGCGGTATCGGGATTGATCGGTATAGCGCTTTATTATATTGTGTGTAGAAAGTAGATGACAATTCCTTGTTAGATCGCATGAGTGTACACTCTGTCACAAAAGTATAAGCACCCCCAAATTTTTTTAAATACATGATCCCCAAGCATTATTTGTTTTATTTTTTCCTACATTAGCAGCAATCCAAACCGTAAATAAAAATAAAGTTTCAAAAAATTTTATCGATTTAAAAATTTTAAAATTAAATTTTCTCGAAACTTATGTGTCACAAAAGTATAAGCATTCATATTTGAAATGGTCGACTAAGATATATAATCTTCAGAATAAGGTTGGCGGATAGTTGGAAATCTTCGGGTATCCGGATACGGTATCCGAACCGAAAATTTCGGATATCCGGATCCGGTATCCGAAATTTTTAGGGTATTATTGAAGAGTACAGACCCCTTTTTTCCTCCCTAATTTCCCCCTATATTTTTACAAAATGGT